TTCATGGCAGTGTAAGTAGAGTTGCTGATAAGATACGAGTACATGAGATGAGATGCCGTTCTCCTCGGTGGTCGATATCGATAGGCTGGTCGGTACCTCGAAATTGATTTATGCTATTTTATGCTATAGGAAATACGGAAGGTCGATGCCCTCCAACGGCAGGCCCCGAGCCTTTTAACTTCTGGTGCTTCCTTTGCCAAAGTACTCTGTTCTGAGAGTTTCCCGTCTGCCTGGGCCACCTCCGCCCAGCACGGCTCCCGTTTTGAAGATTTACCGTGAGTGTATTACCTTTGTTGAGTGTGTCGTGCTGTTGTTGGTGTATCTTGCTGTTCGCCGGCTCCCGACTGGGGACAATCACTCTCGCTATCGCTGTAAGTCATCCTCCGCGGCACGGCCCCCTCCCCCGTACCGTATCATACCGCATTGTTCAGGTAGTTCTGACTTCTAACAATGCTGGCTTCCTCTGAAGAACGCAGTCTCCGAGGATGCTCTCTTGCCGAGGTTCGTGCGAAGATGCCTTCCGTGAAGCATGTACAACAGACTTGTAAACGACTCAAATTTTTTTTTGAGTCGATTCTTTGTTTGAGTCTGGAAATTTGAATCGATTCATCAAACGACTCATGATGTTAAATTTAATTGATTCGAATCAACTCATGACTCATCAAGTTCCTCGATAAAATGATTCGAATCAACTCATGACTCGAGCAACTAGCCAACGGAATGATTCGAATCAACTCATGACTCACACATTTTGATGAATCGATTCAAATCAACGCATGACTCACACGACATTTTTATTGAACTTATTTCATTCAACCCATGACTCACTATAGGCATTTGTTGATTATTTGACTCAAAGCTATGATAAAATGAATATGCCGCATACCACAATTGTATTAAGCAGCATAGTAGCCTTGACCAAAGATTCAAGCAGCTACCTAGTAGGACTAGGTACATCGGTACCTACTTGGGCAAACATGGTTGATGCAGTTTCCAGTTCCTAAGTCCCAATTCCACTTTTGAATTCTAATATTCCTGCAGATTGGGCTACCTATTCTGTAGCATACTGGTCACTGGTCAGTCTTGCTTCAATTTCTTATCTTGTCACCTACAACAAAGCAAACAAGTTCTAACTGCAAGCAGTCCAGAAAATACTTCAAATGTTTGTACACATCACTTCCATTCAGTTTGCTGTACACACCCAACAATATTTTGGGCTGTAGAAATCAAATACCAATAACATATGAGGTAAGTATGACTGAAATCCATTTATAATGGACACAAATCCAATTGAAGCAAGGCTGACCAGTTGCAAATCTTACCTGCCTTTTCAAAGACATTGACATACCAATTACCAAAGTCACTGTGCCCACCGGAAATCGCAGTTCATGTCTGATACCCATGGCCTTGGTTTGATATTTAAATGCATTTCATAACTCAATCAGCTTTGAAATTATTTCTATCTGTATGAAATGAATCTAAGGCATTCTCCAGAAGCCGTGATATTGAACAGATTTTTAGCCAACTGGCGCCGCATGGTGGCGCTAGCAGAGCGTATAACACTAGCGCTCTACTAGCGCCATCATACGGCAACAGCTGGCAATTAACTGAGTCAATACCAATGCCATTCTCCAAGGCCAGTGATTCCGTGTTGATATGAAAACCGCGCATTTGAGCGTCATATATGCTGAGCCTTACGCACGCTAATCTACTGCATAAAGGTAACAATTTTGGAACACGATCGGGAAGAGGACAAAGTCTCCACTCTAGCACATACTAAACGCCTAATGACATTGATACAAAGACCCCGAATGCATTGACGAGTAAATGTGCATCAGGAACGGATTTTCCTACTTGTTCATCATAGTGATACGTTTGTAATACGCAATTACTCTGCTCATGGATCCCAGCTCAAAGACGCTAAGATCAAAATCAGGTCAGTCCCAGAAACTTTGGTTTTTATTCTATATCTAAGTACTAACAACAAATTGTAGTTTGTTTTCTACGTTAATGAATTGGCACTAAGTCATGATCGCAACCTTGCGGTACTTTAAAGGGACCCTCCCACCTTCAAAAAAGTTAATGAATTGGCATGAAAGTGATGTCCCTTGGTTCAGAAAGAGCGAAAACGAATATCTACCAAATTTCACCGAAAAATATTCACTGGTTTTCAAGATATTAGGCTTTTACTTTTGTTTACTTTTTGGGATCTCCCCTGTTACTAGCGACTTTATTTGGAAGCAATAATTTGGCAGCCTTAAAGTGCGGCAGACGTTGCGCGCAAAGCAGCGTATACCACCACGTGTTAACGATGGTTTTAGTCTAAGATTTAAAAATCGTTAGATCTCCGCTGACGTCACAAATTCTAAGGGGGCATTCCAATGCATTAGCCCCTTATAATCCGAAAACTGCAAGTTTGAAATTCCATATCTTCGAATTAAAGCATTTTTCGATGTTGTGAGTGCCCAAACCGGTATTTGCAGGCCATGGCCACCAATTTGGCTATCTCAACTCAAAACTAATGTTAAGGTGTGAGTGTCCCTTTAATGCCATTTCGATTTTGCAGTACTTTAACGCCAACAAAATTTTGCAGTGTTTTAACGACTGCTTTGTCTTGCTATTGGTGTCGACATTTCTGGCGGACCTTACAGTTTTATGTTTCTCTATTTTGATTTTGATTTTCTGGTTTGGGACGTTATATAGTTGATATTTGAAGGACTTATGTATTCCATTCTAAAAACGAATATCTTTTACCAAGAATATTAGCAAAGGTATCAGTATATTTATCTTGTTCCATGTTTGATGTTAGGTTCTGACTGATGAAGTCACTGCTCCATGGATCCCCATTTCACATCATTTTTAGCAGCTGTAGTAAAAGGGGCTTAGGTGAGCATGAAATTCATTGTTTTTCTTACGCCTTATATTATTAAATATGACCTGAATCTGGTTCTAAAATACAAACTGTGAAGCGAAGTGAAATGACCATGGCATGAGTGTTTTACTTTGCAACACAAGGTTGCTCAATTGGAAAGAAAATATTTTCTTCTTGCACAGTACACAATTTTCCAAATGAATTTCGGGAACGGGTCCATCTGGTTCCAATGCTGACCTAGACCGGGTCTGACCGGTTCTGGAAATGTTCCAGTCAGACTGGGTCCGGGTCCGGGTCCCAAAATTTTCCAGTTTTGCCACCTCTAGTACCTAGGTACCAACTGCCAAATGCTTTTGGCTCATTAGGCGCCTGTGCCTGAGCCTCTGAGGCTCTTGTAAGTCTGAAATATGGAGTTAAGTGATGGCTAAAGCTGAGGGGGTGATCTAGCATTGATTATTAGGGTGTTGATGGTGACTTGTAAACGACTCAAATTTTTTTTGAGTCGATTCTTTGTTTGAGTCTGAAAATTTGAATCGATTCATCAAATGACTCATGATGTTAAATTTAATTGATTCGAATCAACTCATGACTCATCAAGTTCCTCGATGAAGTGATTCGAATCAACTCATGACTCATCGAAAAACGGTTTGATTCTGAGTCGATTCACGAATCAACTCAGAGTCGTTTACGAGTCTGAATTGTACAATCTCGACTGTAATTGGCTTAGTTTCTTATCTCCAGAATCCACGCTAGGGCTCTTTTCCAGCAGCATTAAAGAAACTAGGCTTCGCTGTCTTATCTCCCCGTGTTTGCATCGTCTCCGTTGATAAAACCATCCGCTCCGTTCCGATTTATCCCCGTGGATGGCCGCTGCTGTCAGTGCGTTCCGCCCGGCGACCCCGTCCGAATATGGGCGTCGAGCTCCGAGCTGCCCGGGCTAGGGGGGAGAGGGGAAGGGGCAGGGGACTCCCACTAGACCAGGGCGGTGTGGCCGGCCGCCCGTGTGCTATATTAATTGGATCGGTGGCACCGCGCCCCGTGCCCGGCCCGCTAACGAGATTTGCGGCGATCAGTCGCATGTGTCGAGAGAGCTTGTGGTGCGGATATACATCAGATGGGCTGCGGCGTGACTGACTGTGGTGCTGGGATGCATCAGAAGTCGCAGGTGGGGCTGGATGCTCCTGCAGATGCGTTAGATTATAATTAGCTGGGAATCGCAGCGTGCTGGCCATTAATTAACGATCGGCACCGGGCAATGTCATTGGTGGTTGCCGTTGGTCGTGTCGTGGGAAATCTACCAGTCAACTCGCAGTAGATTGATAAAGTGGTTCACCGACTCCTTGATTAGACTCATGTCACCACACCTCTTATCAAAAGCAGCAACACCAACGATCCGTCGTAGGTCCGCCTCAGTTAGCTTGATGATGTTCGGTGGTTGAATTGACTGGTGGTGATGCCGTTTCTACGTTTGGTTTTTGATGCAAATGCATCTATATTCTATAAGCGGCCAGAATACGAACAATACAAAAATGTAAAACGTTGTTTTGTCCCCCTCTTCACGATTAGCTTAAATTCTGTAATGCACCTTTGCACCAGAGCTGACATCCTTCGGTTTCTTAGCGGCTTACCCAGCTCCCTGGAGATGTTGCACCCCGTTCTCAGCCCGGTAGTCTGCTGTTTGTACCGGGCCTCTCGACCCTGAGTGTGCCGGTGCCTGCCTCTCGCGCCGGCGCGGGGGCGTCCGGTCCAAAACCGGTTACACTTATGTGGATGCGAGACACTAGCTTCCGCATTGCACCTGCGCTGTTGATGCGATTTAGAACATAACGCCTGCCAGTGGTATGGATCTTGTCTAGCCAATCTGAGTGCCCCTGACCTGGTTTAACCTGACCTAACCTGGTCTTGTGTCTTTGACTGACCCGAGTGGTCCTAATCTGGCGTGACCTGATCTGACCTGGCCTGGCGTCACCTGACCTGACCTGACATTCTGTGTCTTTTACCGACCTTTTCCAGACCTGTCGTGACCTTGCCTGACCTGACATTGTTTCTCGTGTCTTGCACCGATCTGAGTGTTCCTGACCTGGCGTGGCCTGACCTGACCTGACATTGTGTCTCGTGTCTTTCACAGAGGGCGTGCCTCGGGTGCACTATTTCGGCCCGTGCGGACGCTACAACGCGCTCGTCATGGAGCTACTGGGGCCCAGTCTGGAGGACCTCTTCGACCTCTGTGATCGCAAGTTCACGTTGAAAACCGTGTTACTCATAGCCATTCAATTGGTGAGTCATTGCGCCTCTGGCCGAGAGTGTGAGTCAGACTGCAGAATATGGTTGTCTGCGTCGTTTCGCTGCGACTTCGCCGCTGTGTTGAGTCAGAGAGGATGTTTTGGCCTGTGCTGAACCTCGTCTCCCCGAAATGTCTCCGTCCTGGCTGTGGTGTGTGGGCTGAGGACCGCCACTCCTCTCACTGCTGTCTGCTCTATCACTGTCATCTTTGGTCAGGGATGTCTGTGCTGGGGTGGAGGGGACGGCGTTGGGGGAAGGGGGGGGGGCGGAGGGAGCAGTTTTGTGTAATGGGGACAGGATACTCATCATAACCGACCCACTCAGCTCTTGTTTCGCGTATACTACGGACAGAGACGGGAATTTACCCCACTATCCCGCATCCATGCACTCTCCCCGCACGAACCCAGCCTGATTAGTGGAAACTGAATCACAATCCTCACCAATCCTAGTCTTTTATTTACCCTTCACGCCATTTACATCATTGACTCAGTAATCAGCGCCCCCTCCCCCTCCCTCCCGTCCCTCCCTGCGTATTCTGACCAGTGATATTTGTATCTGTGTTTCAGTTACATAGGATAGAGTTTGTGCACTCGAAGCACCTGATTTACCGGGATGTGAAACCGGAAAACTTCCTCATCGGTCGCAGCTCGAACAAACGGGACAAGTGCATCCACATCATAGGTGCGTATCACGGTGGCCTGCCAGAGGATCACAACGAAAGCTCCCTTGTCAAATTTCCTGTTTATTTCCTATCTCTTCACGGAACCTCTAGCTGCTCAGTGCTTAGTGGTTATCGCTATTCCCAATGTCTCACCAGTCATTGCCCTGTCATGATATTGCGTATCCTCTAAATGAATTGTATAGACCAACAAGTGTGCTCGTCACCTGTCCAAGAACACTTTAACCACTTGTGCTGTGTTGTAACGTCGTGTGGTGTGGGTGTCTATGTGGCCAGATTTCGGTTTAGCGAAGGAGTACATAGACCCGGAGACTCACCGGCATATACCGTACCGGGAGAACAAGAGTCTGACGGGCACCGCGCGCTACATGAGCATCAACACCCACCTCGGGAAAGGTGAGAACGCTGGTGAACTGGCAAAGGTGAGAACGCTGAACGACTGCTGCTGGGCTGGCGTAACGTCTAACGCAGAACGGTCAGTGGAGGATCATGGAAGGGGAGGGGCAGCTATCAGTACAGAAAGGAAGTTTGAGGAAGATATGGTGAGCCGTGAGGGCTGGGTGGTGAGGAAGCTTTACTTAAGCTGGCATTGACTGCCCTGACTTGCTACAATGCCGTTTGATGTGTTTGGGGATGTTGTGTTCGTGTTGGAGTTGAATGATATCATTGATAGACATGTTTCATATTCATAAACACAAACGGTGTTGTAATATCCATTGGTAGTTTTGAGAAACATCAGCCCGGCTAATCCTTGTGGGTGCTTCGCTCCGTCATTATTTGTGTCATACAGGGTGTTCACTAAAAATTGAGACAAAGTTTAGCAGGCTGTATCTTCGGTAAAAATGTACCGATTTAAACAAACGAGGCATTGTTGTAATGCACATTGCATCTGCTGCAAACCGTTGAGCGTCAACAGATTTGCCTGATTCCCGTAGGTCATTTTTTGGACATTTTCTTGTAAGTGTTTTCACAAGGTCTGGCACCAGTGGACCGTGAATTTGGCCAATTCATGGCGGTAATGAGCAGCCAGTTGATATTTTGTATCAAATTTAAAGACACCAATTTACGTAATAGCCTTCGGCAAATCACATTAGATACTCATTTGTTAATTTCAGTCGTGGCAAATGGCTTATCGGGCCTTGTTTCAATCATGCAATTTTTACATCGGCCGGAGCCCCCAAGGCGCCCCTTGATTAGTGTGCTGGCGCGAGGTCGGACCAGAAGATCACCTTCTGGTTACATATGTTGTTCTGCATGAACCTCTAGTGCTAAATAATACACTTGACTCAGAAAGTATCATATTGTAAAGGACCGGCCTGGAGGAATAAAGTCGAACTGATGATATGCTCTGAAATAACACACGTACCACGGCATCCAGCGTTAGCTAGGATGCTAAATGGACGTTAGCTCTTGATTCATTGATAACATCACTACAGAACACTCCATTGTCTAGTAAATTGTCGCCCTTTGACAAAAACATGATTTTTCTTCCTTAAATAGATCGGTCGTTTTCTGCAATTTGTGGCGCTTTCTTGACCTTTGTTTATTTACTTCTCTTGCCTTATGTTGTTCCCAATCGCTTCGAGAAATCATTTACGCCGGTTGTAACTCATCCTAGCCTCAGGTGTGATATATGTTCTTCGCTTAGGCACAGTTAATACCTTACTGATCGGCAGCATTGCATCGTGAGGTGCCAAAAAGCCCCTCCACGTGCATTTTCGGGGCCCCGACCTTTCCTTTCGTCAGTATCTTCACATTTGCACCACTTCAGATTTTCTGACTCCCACACCCACTAGAACTTTCGTCCCACCATACGGTATGTAACTAATTTCGACATTTTAAGCTTTCATTAGGTATTTGTACGTGCCAGACTCTCCCATTGACGTACTATTTTGGGAAAGCGTGCCAATTGGCTTTCGGTGGGCCTTATTTAAAACGACCTCCAACGCGACTGTTTTCATTACACCCATGAAATTTTATGTTCGGTATGATACAAAAATGTCCCTTTTATCTCCATGCTAAGTTGCATCGTAATAGCTTGCTTCACTTTTGATGTGCAGTCATTCAAAGTTTGTGTCAATTTTTAGTGAACACCCTATATGTTTGGTGCAGTTTTGGAAAAGTAATTTAGACATGTAATCTTTCAAAAAGTCTGATAGAAATCATGAAATTTTAGCAGTTTAGCGCCTTCTTCTGGCGCAGGTCAGAGTCACCGAATATCGCGTTTCCATGTTTTGCGTCTATTTCGTCTGTACCCTATAATCTTAATTCTAAATCGATGCGCTTGATTTGATCTGACCTGTCACTCACCAGCCCATCATTGGTTTACCCCAACGTTCGTCCCACACCATGTCAACCCACTTGACCGGTGTCCCGCCCGCCGTGTTTCAGAGCAGAGTCGGCGGGACGACCTGGAGGCGCTGGGCCACATGTTCATGTACTTCCTGCGCGGCAGCCTGCCCTGGCAGGGTCTCCAGGCAGAGACCCTCAAGGAGCGCTACCAGAAGATCGGAGACACCAAGCGGGCCACGCCCGTCGAGGTGCTCTGCGAAAACTACCCAGGTGAGAGTGTGGTAGAGGAATGTCGATGGATTGTTCAGGAATTATTGTTGTTAGAAGGGCTAAATCTGGCATGTAATCTGTAAAGAATCCTCAGAGTGGTTACGGAGCGAGCGAAGCGAGCGTAGTCTTTCCTTAGATTAACGGAAATTTCTGAGTATGAGCGGCCGGCCGGCCGGCCGTGGTCACGCTTTTGCGAGGCTTATATCTCAGCAACCACTTGACCGATTTACATGCGGTAATTTTTGTAGGGTAGCTTCATTCCTTCTACCAAGTATTGGACTATTCCCGATGCATGTGGGTGACCCCTTATGCACGTGCCACGTGCAAAACGAAGAGGTGTCACTTTTGTAATTGTTGCAATATCTCGGTAACTACTTGGCCGATTGCGCTGAAAGTTGGCATGTAGGTAGGCACCCACTAGGCAATGCATATCCATGTGCCAGAGTTGGGGTGCTGCTGCACGTGCGCACGTGCAGGGGTCGATTCCAGATCTCGAGAACGGCTGGACCGATGGCGCTCAAATTTGGTACATGGTTAGGGACCAGTTAGTAGGGACTAGGGAGCCGTGCAAAAGTCAGTTGGGACCCATTTTGCACGTGCGCACGTGCAGGGTGCCGCTTCCAGATCTCGAGAACGGCTGGGCCGATTGTGCTCAAATTTGGCACATCGCTAGAGACCGGTTAGTAGGGTGCCGTGCACAACTCAGTTGGAGGTACCCCCTCGCAATTTCGCACGTGCAAGGCTCACCCTCTCGCTCGCTCCGTTAGTCGCCCCAAAAGGCGTTATACTGGTGATAGTTTGCAAAATGACGCCCAGAAAAGCTGTCGTTGGAAGCAGAAGGCTTTCAATCTCGAATCTTGACACGTTTGGGTGCCATCGCGGTCCTTCCAAGGCACCGGATTTAGAACCGAGTAGCACACTTGAGCTCTGAGAAGTAAAACAGCGCTGAGTATTTTGCGAGGAATGTCACGGCAAAAACACCGCTGTTTCTGGGTCAGACGCGTTCCGATATGCCGTGCTATCTTGTCTGAAATCCACACCTGTACTTGACGGCGCTGATCTTACATGGCCACTGCTGATTATTGATCAGGTATCGGTTGTGTTATTCAGTCTGAGTCATCTTACACCTGCCTTGGCGAGGTCGCGGGGCTACCTTGAGTGCTAGAGAGGGAAGTTAAGCCGATAGCCCGTCTGAGGAGGCAGGCTGTGCGTCACTGCAGCCCACGAGTCAGGTGCCTCCGTCGCTAGTGATGACGTCACTGGGTTTAGCAGGAACGGCAGCTCGGAATGGTTATTGTTATGATATATTCATGGTGAGGGTATGGTAGGGAGGGAGGGGCACACCAGCTGTTACCGGTAATGGCGTGCTGCTTGGGTCGTCTGAAGTGGTACGGTGCTACAGCTGCTGCACTTTGTGTAGCCCCTCATACCTCGGTTGTGGGCCCGACAACCGTGGACGTGTCTGTCGTCGAATATGTTGATTTCTTCGCTATTTGTGACCTGAATAGAGGGAAGGCTCGAGATGTGCAGCTGTGCCGTGACTGTATGCACAAGACACTGAGAGCTGTCAGCCCGCCTCCCGCACCGTCTAACCCTAGTTCGTCACCAACACCACTGCCCCACTGAGCTACCACACCTTCCAGGGCGTTCAAAGAGTTCGTTCGGTGGTATCTGGGTACGGCATACCTCCCCCTCCCCCCTCTCCACCGATCTCTAGCACACCCGACACGTGCTACACGAGCTCGGTGGCTCCATCTACCAGTAGAAACCGACAGGGAGGATCTCCGTCCCCGGAGACCGGTGATACTATATCAGTGAACTCAGTGCCGGACTGAGCTCGGATGTGAAGTTAATTCTGACCGGGGCGTGGCGGCGCCCGTGGTATGTTGACGAGCCGGTTGCCATGACGACAGTGGGGCTCGGGTCGTTGGTTGATAATGTGATGCGGGTTCGACGCAGCGTCATTGGCGGTGACGGGGGATTTGATCGCCCCCGGGGGGTCGGCCGACACGCTGATGGGCCATTATTCAGGGCTGAGGAGCCATGTAGCTGACAGGTTGAAGTGAAATCTGGCTTTGCATAGGTCACTTGCAAGTGAAGATCTGATGCGAGCTTGCTAAGCGAGATTCAGGATATAAAACCGATGCGTGTCATGTCGGAGATTCAGGTAAAAATTGACAGGTCCAGACTAGAATACACATCTCAGCTGAGTCATGCACTTGTAGCGCCCTTTATTGGAAGGGTAAACAACGATACACGAGGGCACGACTGATGAACGGGGATTGCTGCCACGTCTACCTGTCGGAACGCTGTGATCGATTCCGGGGCGGGGCGGAACACGAACCCTATCCCTACCCAGTAGAGGAACGGATCGCTGCACCACCAGGAGGGGAGCGGAATAACCCTCGATCAGGGGAGGAATGGCATGTGAGGTGCATAGTGGGTAGTGCTGCGAAAACAGTGCAACATATGACAAGAAATGCAGGGCGTGATCTTGCTGCAATAAAAATGTTGCTGATTGACTGATCAGGGTAAATTATAAAACTATGGGGATTGAGAGGGCGATATTTGTGATACGGGAATTAACGATGGTGTCTTATTTGGGAGAAGCTGACATGCCGGCTGTTGGGACGACCATTGTTTGGAAATACTGCTCGACGGGCAGCCGACACTGACGAGCACTCGTGGATGATGCTTACACAATGTCGCGCCTTACACGTCAGAATGAAGATGGATTAGGTTTTATTATGAAAGGAAGTGCCGTTCCTCAACAGGAAGGCTGGGCTAAATTTAATTTCACCGGCGCCTTAAAATTCTGTCTCGAGCTATTTCGAGCATCTTAGCCGCGAAGTGCTCACTTAGGGCCAATTTTCTTCTGTGAAACACTGATTGCTGCGATCATTTTGCGGAGCTGCGATTCAGCCTAATCTGACGTCTCCTTTGTGTGTTGGCGGCCCTTTCAGTCGCCGTGCTCATTTAGTAGACTGGTCTGTCGCGGCGCGACTGAACCGAAATCGATGTGACCTTTTCAGCCTCTCAGGCCACCGCTGATCCGTGAACGTAGAGTCCTTGGCCTTGGTCGTATAAAGCACTTGGGCCGGATAAGCCAGCACAATCCGCTCCAAATGCCAGGCGCCGCCGGCGGTCTATAATTCACTGTAATGCGTGAGTCGAGTGCTAATCAATAGCAGTGCAGATGATATTTGCTGCTGGAGTTGCCACGCTCTGGCCTGTCGCCGAGAAGATTGGATGCCAGACGGTTATTACATTGCACTGTGTATGATGGATAGATAGGTGCCTCCCCGGTTATATCGATGTGGGATTTGTCTTGTCGTACTTTGGATGAGCATACCGTATTATGGAAACCTTTTCTAATACGCGTCCAGTGTCTGCCAATGAACAATAAGATAGCAGGAGTAATTGTTGTGTTCTGAGATCACTAAGATTGCCACCGCCCTCATAGAGAGCAGAAGGTGCATAGACTACTGTATCACGGTATCGAGTAGTCTATGGCAGGTGCAAATAAAATCAAGGCGACCACTCTCCCTCACCAATCTGTGCTGTCGTGTGACTTGACTTTACGCGGTCCTATCCACAGAGGAGATGGCTGCCTACCTGCGCTACGTGCGGCGGTTGGACTTTTTCGAGACGCCCGACTACGATCACCTGAGGAAGCAGTTCCAGGACCTGTTCGACCGCAAGGGCTACGTGGACGACGGCGAGTTCGATTGGACGGGACGCACTATGGTGAGTAGTCACCGGTAAGACGTGGGGTGCGCGATTTTTCTATAGCGCCTTATGTAACTCACAGTTAATTTCCGTGTCCGGCTGAATATGCGCACAGCTCGCGGCAGCGCGGTGCAATATTAACCACTGCGTGGCATGTCAGTGCCGCGTTCCATCAGCAATATTGAGGTGCAAATGTCGGAGCTGTGCGGACACGCGTGCTGCGCTGGACGACGGTGACGCTTTGAGTCTCCTCCGGAAGCCGCGCTCGCCGCCGAGGTGTCCGCTGGCGCATAGGGCGGCTGTGGGGACTGTTTTGAATTACTCTGTTGAGTGTGGCACACTCTAAGTGACGGATGCCTTTTTTGTGAGCAGCACGATGATCTTTTGGAGAATATGAAAGTGCTGAAGCACGCGCTTCCTTCGGATATTATTAAAACTAAGTCGATGAAGGTCAGTAAGTGGAAGCTGCCAGTATTGTAGGTCCAGTACCGATAGTTGCCGAATAGGCACCGAGAGTAAACCTTCCTGAGTCTCCGCACATCCCCAGCGACAAGGTAGTTGGAATCCTCATGCCTTCATACGCTTCGCACTTTCGCACTTGCTGCCTGATGACAGCAATATAGAGTTTGACATATTTCCGGACACTTCATTGCTGAATTTGTGTGTGACCGTTGATGAGTAAGTCCAGTCATGGCCGCTCTGGCAACCACAGGCCAGTGTGGTTGTTAACTTTTTTTTGTTAGTGTTTGTCGTTCATTACATATGTGCTACTGCAACTACAATGGCTAGAGAGATAAAAATCACATTGTTCGGTTAATTCGCACTGCACTCTGCTGCGAGTATTACGGTTTCTTTGAAGAAAAAATCATACATTGTATGCCTTACTGTCTAGGAAGATGTTATATAAAAGATATCCTTATTCCTTACCTTCGCACAAAGTATCGGTCTCAAAATGCCTATAGAGTAAATATGCCTTTCGCTGCCTTTCACCGGCCGTCGTCTCACTTCCTCGTCTGTCTTGTTCTAGGCTCGCAAGCTTCGTCGTCTGCGAGCTTTGCCCAAGTAGCATCCAGTATTTCTGGCTGTTGGCCCGACCCGCGCTGCCTTGACCCGACCTGACCCGACCTGACCTGGCCTGACCTGTCTCCCTGCTGCTGACCCGGCGCTGTCTCCGATTGTGACCGTCTCGTCCGCCCGCCCGCTCCTTCTCCGCTGGCCTCTGTCTTCACTTATCCTGTCTTCTAGTCCGTAAGTTGTGTGAGCTGCTGCCACAACTGCTGCCAAACGATATCGGCGTATGTAGTCCTTCTTTTGTCACACACTGCTGTATATTTGTTTTAGACGTCCTGCTGTAGCAGCTCATTCATTAGCAGTTTATGATTGAAGGTAGAACCTCATTGAAAAAGTTTTAAGCCGTAACATTTTGGTATAGATGTGCCCTTTTTTTGCTTATCCTCTCCTGTTTCTGATAAGCTAATGGGTCAGCTTTTTATCCCTGTTACTATAAATTGTCCAGAAGCAACGCATTTACTCGACATCTATCCTTTTGTCTATTGCTCGTTCTCGATATTTGTAACCTTTGTCCAGCTTTGGCTCGTAGAATAACGTAACGTCGCCTCCGACTGCCACCGTCGTGTAACGCTCGACCGCCTAGTTTTGCTGCGTATGATCTCTATGGTCTGTGTCCTAGACATGAGGCAGCTGGGGGTGAATTGGGACACGAAGGGCGTCTGGGACATCCACCTCAGAGCCTCCTGGTGACCTGGTATGGGTCAGCGCTACTCTTTGACCTCTGTGTGACCCTTATCTGTGTCAGTGTCCGACCTATGCTTGATGCAGTATACCTTTCTCGCCAGTGCTTAACTTCTATGTGACCCGCATAATACCTGTCTGTCGCCAGTGTTTGACCTCTGTGTGACCCGGTAAGGGTCACCAGTCACCACCACTGTGTGACCTCTATGTGACCCGTATAATGCCTGTCTGTTTCCAGTCGACGCCGGTTGGCTCCCTCCAGACGGCTACCGAGGTGGTGGTGTCCCCGACTCGCGAGAGGCATCCGGCCACCAACAAGGTACGAACACCGGCGTATCGTCCTCCGGCGCAGCGTATGTCGCTGCACCGCCCGCCCTACTCACGGACGTTCGCGCACCGGCACTCACACCTGTGTCTGTCTGTCGTCTGTCTCTTTCACCGTCTGTCCGTCTGACCCTTTTTATATATCATGAGCTATCTGCTTTTTCTTGCTAACGCTTCAGCCTTCCTATTTGCTAACTCTTTTCTCGTTTCATTTTCCAAACTTCTGCTTTCCTGTAATATTTTCTTTTCGTCCTCCTTACGATTCTCTTCAACTCAGCAGGGTATTGAGATGAATTCGGTGGTCTATGTCGAAATTCACCGCGCCTGATCTGTATCAGCACTAAGAGCATTTGTTCAATGACCGGGGGAGAGTGGCCTTACGTTACCATGGGGCGCTGTTTGCCATTGCTCTGTTGTTCGGCCACCGTGACTGTAGCGCACAGCGCACTGCCTGACCCCACTGTTCGATGGCCGGCCTGTGTCCGCGCCGCACCGTCCCTCCCCCATGTGTCCGTGGCGGCTGCCTGCCTGCTCGCGCCGTGGCCGGCTGTCACCGTGTCTGGCTTTGGCTGCGCGCCGCGGCACGTGCTCACGGGGCTGGCGCGGTGCTCTGCAGGGTAGCAAAGCTCCGTCGGCCTGGCCGGAGGGGCAGCGGACCATCAACACCACGCTGGGCAGCACGCTGACGCCGGCTGACCGGCACGGCTCCGTCCAGGCGAGTACATACGCCACCTGACCTGAGCTGACCGGGTTCGAGAGACCTCAGTCTGACCCTTACCTGACCTGACTCGGCCCGTTATGTACGAGAAACCATGATCTGTCCTGAACCAACCTGACCCAGTCCTTACCCGTCCATGCCTGACATCTCACCCAGTCTGACAGACATGATCGGACCTGGCCTGTTCCGGCCGGACAGGCCCAGCCTAGCCCGACTTGTCCTGATCTGTCCTGGCCCAACTAACCAAGCCTTTCCCCGACCCGTCCTGAGATAACCCGACCCAACCCTTACAGGGTCACTGCCTACTGTCCAACCCAGCCAGACTAGACCCGAGTGTCCCTAACTAGCCCCGGCATGACCTAAACCAGTCTTGAACAACTGTTCCGACCTAATGTCAATCAGACCTTACCCCGACCTAATCCGACTCTTCCTAACCTAACCCGGCCTAGCACACACCCCGACCCGAGCTGCTAGCGATGGGTGCGCAATAAGCTCGCAAAGGATGCAGCCCCGACTAACCCTACTAACGCGCTGAGCTGGCTAAATATACTGCCAACATGCAAAGACCGGGAGATGTCCCACTGGGACAGTCGACTCCGCTGGAGGGCGCTATTGTCGCGAGAGGTGACTGATGCTAAATATTTGTCTGCTGTGTGATAAATGCGCTTCTTGCCCCGTTTTGCTGAACGTTGACGTGTTTCTCGATGTTCTGGCTATATATTGAACTGGTGTGGTTAATATCGGGGTGAACTAATATTTTTTTTTCTGTTATATGTTGGGCCCAACTCCACTATCATTGTGACGACTATGTTCTGTTCGTGACTAACCTGCAAGTTGAGAAAAAACAACACTTACAAGGCTTTGTGTGATGAAAATAGATGATCGTGTTGCATTCATCCTCAAACTGACACTTCGACATACCATTAAAGGTAGTGTGCCAGCTTTCTTGGACCATATGGAGTTAATGACCCGGATAAGGAGAACCGGATTTTTAGAACTTATCCATACCTTCAAAACTTATGGAAACGTCTTAAATTCTTCAAATTTTGAGTACCCCAGTGCGAAATTCGCCCCGACGGGTTGTCGGTCGTACCCCAACCACATTTCACACCACTATGAACAATAAATGCACACACTAAAATCGCTATTACCGATAGGCTCATCCAATCAAGTTTCGATAAACCCGTTCATCATCATCTCCTGCGGTTTCGAACACGCCTGTTAGGTGGCTTCTGATGCTCGTCGAGGTCGGAATTTCCAAATACGCGTGGTGCGTCGGGCCGCGCGCTCTGACTTCGGCCAAGAAAAATGCGTCAGCTGATCATTGTCATTTCTGCCACTTGCGTGTGGTGTAATGGGGTTATAACTTAAGAGACGGCTGTTTCATATCAATTATTTTACATAAAATCATATTTCAAACCACAAATTAATGTTCGACAGCCAAAACAATACCAATACAGGCTTACAGTTTAAAGGGACCCTCCCACCTTCAAAAAAGTCAATGAATTGGCATGAAAGTGATGTCGCTCGGTTCAGAAAGAGCGAAAACCATTATCTACCAAATTTCATCGAAAAATATTCACCGGTTTTCAAGATATTAGACTTTTACTTTTGTTTACTTTTTTGGGATCTCCGCTGTTTCTAGCGACTTTATTTTAGAAGTGCGGCGTTTGCGGCAGATGTTGCGCGCAAATAGCATATACCACCGCGTGTTACAAAACGTTTTAATCAAACATTTAAAAATCGTTAGATATTTGCGCTGACGTCACACATTCAGAGGGGTATTCCTAAGCATTAGCCCCTCTGAATCAAAATGCTGCAATTTTGAAATTCAATATTTCCGATTTAAGGCATTTCTCGATGTTGTGAGTGCCGAAACCGGTAATTGTGAGCCAGGGACCCCATTTTGGCTATCTCAACTCAAATCTAATGTTAAGGTGGGAGGGTCCCTTTAAGGCTCGACATTGTGTTGTCTACGATTAGACAGCTGATAACTCATTCCCGTACGTCGTATGGTCGTAACACTATAATGACCTTTGCTTATTGTCACAAGTGCGCCGCATTCGCGATTGTTGCCCGACGCCTGTTTGCAGGTGAGCCCACTACAGTTGTTATACATATCTAAAAACCGATAAACTTTTAGGCCAAAAAGGCACTATTCCAGGCCCATTTTTGATTTTTTTTGCGATATTAGGTAAAAACAGAAGCTTCTTATCCTAGGAAAAATAAAACGGGAAATCTTTCAAAGGTGGCACACTACCTTTAACCAACTGAAATGCCTGCATACACGAGGTCACGATGCGATCACAGCTGATCGAATTTGATCACTTCTGGTCCAATATCTATCACCCTATGGCCCCTTCTGAGTAACTAGGAAGACGTAATCGAGTAACGATGATCTGATATTCCACCCATTAATGGCTATCCACATCCCTAACTTGTTTCTAACTTATTCCTTATTCATACCTGAATCCTGAATCTATTATCTAGTAGCTAGTTTAACCCTCACTCGACCCAAACTCGTCCCTAGCTCGCCCGCACTATTATTTATCGTCACTTCCGCTCTAGCTCGTCCCTAACTGTGCCCTAATTCGTCCCTTATTTCATCCATTGCCTCATCCTAGTTCGTCCCTAACTGTGCCATAGCTCGTCCGGGATTTCTCCCCGAACCCCACCCCAGCTCGCCGCTAACTATGTCCCAAGTTTCCCCCAATTTGTCCCCTAACTCTACCCTAGCTCGTCCCAAACTGTGCCCCAAGTGTACCCCAATATCTCCCCTAGTTTCACTATATCTGGCCCCTAACTGTACCCGTTCGATTCGTGTCACAGGTGATGAGCTCTGCGAACGGCGAGCTGGGCCCGGACGACCCGACTGCCGGTCAGAGCATCACACCCATCACCGCCCAGCCAGACGTGGACGTCGTCGACGAGACCAAGTACGGAACGGGGAGAGGGGGAGGGAGGGATGGACAGTCAGACGTGGACGTCGTCGACGAGACCAAGCATGAGACAGGGAGAGAGGGAAGGGGAGAGGTGGTCGGGCTAGGAAAAGAGGAGAAAAGCAATGAGCAGCTGGAAGGGACAAAGAGGCTCGAGATGAGGGCGTGAGATCGAAAAGCTAATGCTGAACGCTGTTATGTTATTGCGTTGTAGATGTCATTAAATGCTAGATCGTAAGTTGGAAGGGGATGTAATGGTCCGGAATCCGGAGTAATTTTATGCATAGGTCAATGACTGTTTTGCTGGTTGCAGAGATGAGATGAGTGCTTTTTGCGTAAATAACGGGATGCTTACACCCTTCGACGTTCCTACCGCACTCGAGTTCTAACGATTGTACCCTCCCCGATGTGTCTACCAGGTGCTGCTGCTTCTTCAAGCGGCGAAGAAAGAAGTCGCGCGGTCAGAAGTGACGTCTGCCGTGGTGCGAGCGGCGAGCGGGCGCCCGCGTGGGACTGCTGCCGGCCGACTCGGAGGACTGACTCTGAGTCGCTGCGGGTGACTCCGAGTCTGTGGATGACTCCCGAGTCTCTGTTAATGACTCAGACGGTGGAGAGTCGCCCGGTGGCAGCGAGAGTCGTCCGTCGTCCCGGCACCGTCCGCGCCTCTCCCGAGTCCCGCCGCTCCGGTGGCAGTACGCTGGGTCAGTCAGACCCATAGCCGACTCCGAGTGGCCGTCCGCTCCGACTGCGGACCCGGCGGTGACCTGCGCGCCGCGCGGCGGCCGTGTGTACCTGACGGACAGCTCGCCGGACGGGCAGGTGGCGTCCCAGTAAAGCACCTGACCTCGCCGCGATGGCCACCGCAGACAGTCGCAGACGGGTGCCGCGTGCGTCGTCAAGAGTGGATGTTTTAGTGCGGCGCGGCGGTGGTCGTCGGGTGATCGTTTGGAGGGTCAGAGACGTCTTGGAGTCGGTGACAGGAGCTGGCGCGGATGCCGTGGTTGTGTCGGACGGCTGGTAATCTGAGCTGCGTGGACTGGTGTGAGAGCCGTGTTAGAGTCGCAGTGAGAGCCGGTGAGAGTCGCGGTGACAGCGACGGCCGGTCGGTGAGAGGCCAGGCAGCTGGGCAGGCGGGTCGCCGTACCGCCAGAGCTAATCGAGAGACAGCACGAGCGGCAGAGAGCGTGTTTCGAGGACGGCGCAGTGTGTGTAGCCCGGGTCAGCTGCTGTGGACGGATGGTAGTCCGGGCAGATGACCTCTGACGTGTGTGAGTGGCGACCTTTGACCTCACTATGGGCGGCGCCGCGCCGACCTCCGGTAGAGCCTCGGTTCAGTTGAGCGACGCCCAGAGTCGCCCGTGTATGTTACTGTTTGTTGCCCCTACTGTGGTGAGTGCCATTGTATTTGTACGTATCCCCAGACACGACCGTGATTTTATTTAATTATGAATAAAGTGCGTCAACGATTTTAATGGTCTTTGCTCGATGATTTATGATATGAAGGAGTATTGAAGCTAGAGCTGCAAGGGAATGTGGAATGTGGATTGTTGGCATGGTTGACGATAGATGACATTATTTATTTCAGTTAATAGTCCCGCGGATTTTACCTACCACTGAAGAGGTGGAAATGAGTGTCTGTGCGCTACAGTGGCAGGGATCGTCCGGCGGGACGGAAATGTCCCGATGGGACAGCCCGCGCTGCCGCTCAAACGGTCACCCCGGAGAGGGTGTAGTCCAACGAGGACTTGTCCTCACCCCCGATTGTCGGGTGGGAGTGCCCGGAAATGAAAGCGGGAGGATGGCAAGGATGGATTATAAAAATGAAACAATCAACAATGGAACAAACTAACATGACCCCGCTAAGTGATATGCCTAAAGATGCGTCATCCAGTCTCAGGAAGGTGGATAGCGCAAATTATCCACAACAAATAATTATCCACAACAAATTCGGACAAAATCCTTATCACGAGTGTTTCAAAATAGTTTCGAGAAACGGCTTGAATTAAACATGCGAACTTTAGCGACGTTCCCGCGAACCGGCTGAAATTCATTGTGCATGGCATGGTTCGGCGGCGATATTGGGCGTCACAAATATAGCAGTCTGAATCAGATAACCCCTCCTCTTAGATGTCGCTAGCCTCATGGCGTTTGTAGGTGTCGCCCCTGCTGCACCATTCTCTCGCGGCGCACCTTCCACCACAGGGCGGGCGGCGCTGCGGTCAGCTGACTACGTTCGGCCGTACCGCCCCTCCCCCTCCCCCAGCCCAGCTAGCGGCTCGCAGCGGCCGCGGCCGCGGCACACGGCAGTGACTGGGGAGTGGGGCGCCTGGCGGGAGGTGGCGGACCGCCGCTCGTACCGTTGTGTTGTGGCCGCCACGGCGGCGGCGTGACCTCGCGACCTGCGTAACGTCGGCAGCCATGGAGTTCCGCACAGATCCGTTCGAGAACTTTTACGAGGTGTTTGAGGAGATCGGCACGTAAGTAGTCTCGAATCGTCGCCCAAGACTGGTCAGGCGGTCTGGTTCAACTTGTTGTGGTGCGTGTTTTTGTTACGATAGCCGTTAGCTGCACGTGCGTGGCGAGGCAACCTCAGCGGTGAGGCGGTTATTGAAACAAATGTCAGTGGCAGGGTGTTCGTGTTGGCCGTCGAATTTCACCGTCTTTGTCCCCGCCGCATGCTGGCCTACATCCTCCGGTATCGTGCTAGACGGATTTGTTTTTGACGAAGCGTTTAGCCGATTTCTCGATGCTTTTTACCTTTTCGCGTGACTGGCAGTTCTATCCATCTAGCTGTCAAATCCGTGATTGCTCATTTCCCTTCGTAAACCAAGTACCTTCGTCCTACAATCTATTTCCTTATCAACGCACAAATTATGCGAATTATCTACGCCGTGTGTCCCGCACATCGCTAATTAGTCCAAATCTGCTTGTAGTCTCCCAAGCTGTTGGAACACTCCATTTTTATCTGTATGTCATCTCAGCGGCAGCATGTATCTCGGTGACCCTACCGGTCGGTCCGCCCCTCCCCCCTCCCCCTCCTCCGATGCAGGGGTGACTGACCCACCCCGCCCGGCCGGCCGACCGGACCGAGCAGCAGGTCGTGCAGAGCCGTCTTCGTGGTCGGGGAGGTAGCCACGCGTCTGGCGATGTGCCAGAAGTGGACCGGGACGGATCACCGGCGTGGTCATTGCACGGAGACGGTGTGGCGTAATTGGGTGCGGTACCGAGTGTTGAGAGTGATTGAGAGTGCTCACCTTCCTCCCCCCCCCCCCCCCCAGCTTCTATTGGTAGTCATTCGTACCTACACCGACGATTTACCTGGTTATCTTATCTTACCCGGTTGGGCTCATGAGTCGTATTAGGATTGAATCAGGGATAGTCCGGGTTGGGAGAAACCCAAGATACTGAGACTCGCCTCAAGCAACCCAAGATACAGAGAGCCCAAGATAGAAGATACCACGGGCTGCTCATTGACACCCACTGAACTCTATAATGATGACACCCGATAACCCGCCAACGGCACGGCTACCAATTACCATAAATAAATTTGTAGTTTGTGCACAGATAGGCAAATGTTCAAGGCAAAAATGCATACACAAGAACAGTACAGATAGGGTAAAAAAGACTTTCACCGTGTGTCCTTTCCACTTTCCAGCCTTTTCATAAGGGACAATATCAGTGAGTTCAGTGCGGATATTGCGTGTTCGGGCTCAATTCGCCCTCCCGTATTCTTATTGGAACGGATGCATTCCCGCCTAATTCACACGCACAGCCTATATAATGAATGACTATGAAAAGAGAAAATCGATACTTTCTACCGGGCTGTCACTACATTGACATGATTGCGATTTGTTCATTTGTTACACGGCCGACACATTTGTGACATGCCAGACACGCAGACTGGAGATACGGAGAAACCACCCATCGCTCGACGTTTGGACGGCCCGACAGATTTTTAATTACGTCCTGGGAATCCAGGCTTGTACTGACTGGATGATTCGCACTGTTGGCTGGTGGTAATGGTAGCGAGTGGCGCTCGTATAGGTGATCATAATGCCAGTCCATATTTTTTATTTGCGTTGGTACTCAAAAGGGACTTGAAGAGACTGTTGTGTTTAGAATGAGGAACACTGATAATAAATCAGTGTAAGCTCACTGACGCAGTGATGTACTCTCGTAATTCGCTCATATGTCTCATTCTAATGGCAAGTGGCAACTTATGATATTTTATATGTTTGTAGGTATACCTATTTAGACGCTTAAATCGATGGGAAGAAGTAAGCCAATGTCAAACACGAATGCAAACCTATTGACTCGGCTCCTGAGCGTGACACTATAAGGCATGCTTAGTTTAAGTATAAGAGCCGCTATATCGGGACGCGTCTAGGTACTAATCTGGACAGTCGCGTGGTGTAGAAAACATCTTATCACAGAAAATCGCCGCTAAGCATAATAGAATAGCGCCCTAAATAAGACAGCGGTGTCAGGGGTAACAACAGGTCGGCAAACGTCGTGCACTGAGAGGGTGTATTAGACCTAGCGGTCGGACCCCGGACAAAGGGATGCCCGTGGGCCCGGACCTTTTCAAAGGCCACTACAGGTGGTCCGTCCGGTTACGTGCTCCATGATCGAGTGAATGGTTTATGACGCTATGAGATGAGACTTCCGCTTGCCGCTTCCGCTTCGTCGTAAAATTTGAACGTTTTGTTGAAAAGTTTGAAGTGGTAGATCAGATGCAAAGTTTTTCCCAGATAAAGCATATAAGGACGTCCCATCATTGCGACACCTACCCAAGGCTCTCGAATATGAAAGGCTAAGCACAGTGCATTATAGCAACAGTGTTTATTTCGAACTTGAACTGTATCCGATAAAGTTAAATCCGTTTCTGATGTTTCGTTCCAACTTCGCGCAGCCTTACAGGCCTCGGACGAAAAAGTGTCACTGAACGGACCAATGCCCATTTTCTCTGCTGAATGTTGGACTGCAGAGCTGACCAATTTACCCGGTGACTGCCGGCTGCTTCGGCACCTCTGGTAACTGCTGGCTACTCTGTTAATCCTCTCTGGTATAAATTGCTGGCTACTTGGGTTCCTCTCTGCTAATTGGTGGCTACCTGAGCCACTGCCGGTGATCGCAGCAGCTGCTGTCCGCCAGTCGGGAGCTTCGGGCGCTGCTCCGAACCGGTTAGGTTAGCAGTAATCCATTCACCCCGGCACCTACGGCGCACAATTGGCAAGGCCGAGCGGAACGGTCGCTCGCTTTGTTACAAAAACAAACTGAGAGTGATTGGTGTACGGAAGATCGCGTTCTCGAGTAAAACGCTTCGGTGACGCCTTATCTGGAAGCACTAGCTTTTCGACAAGATTAAGGACTAAACTTACATTACAAGCATTATGGATGACACCGTCTTTGCAATAGTTGCATTGAAAGTTGTTCATTTATAATGAAGCACTGAATGCAGGTGTATTCTGTCGTTTAGGTATTGCAAGACGCTCTGCTAGTGCAGTTAAACCAGTACACTCGACAGTCGACAGCTTTCATAAGACGTCTTTCACAATATTGCCGCGATTCGTTTTGTGAGCACATGAACAATGAACGTAACTGAACAGCATTTGATTCACAACAAAACCATTGCGCCACGAAATTCTCCTGCCAAATTGGTTCTCTGTGTTTCACTCACTGTGACTATTTTTTCGCGATCCGTTTACCTGTCGAGGTGTGCTCGCTCACTGGCCACAGAGACCATTGTACGGTAACCGGATACGTCGCTCCCCCGACCGCCGACGAGCCATGTTCCGAATACCGGCACGCCAGTCGACCGGCCTATACGAGGAAAGAGACGCACCATTCGACAAATGACAGACGGACAGCGGGCCCCCAGACGTACCGGCGCTTCCACAAGAATGCAGCCAGACGGCACTCAGCCCGTGGTTAACCGTATCGTCCGGATGGAGATGTCAGATTATGCAGTTTCCGTTATTCGAGTTCTTTGTATAGTATGTGGTGACATTTTCATAAGGTGCTCCGTTTGGTTTGACGTCATGCGGACGTTTCTTACACTCATTCATTTTTATGCCAGGATAGACTGATCCAAACCTGTCAATCCGTGGTATATTTCCGCTACACCTTTCCATCGGATGTCTGGAATGAATTTTGCAAAATATGGAACAAAGGAATGTATGTCTTCTATTTCGATATGCCCGGCGAGCATAATAGATTTTTTTCAAACCAATGCACCATCACTTTTTGCCCTTAGAATATGAAGCGATGGTTTTCGCTCATTTTTTTTGTGGCTGTACCTACAGTAAAATGAGTGCTGTTACAGGTAGTTTCAATGCATATTTGCACAAATAATTACCTGGGCGACGCATGTAAAAATAAATATTTCGCATCCGAAAGCCTCCCCTCGGCGAGGGGTAACCACGCCGACCGCAAACTGGTTGTGTGACTCGCTTGCCTTTAGTTCCCATGTGAATCAGTCAGCCTGGTCTACTCTGGCCTGTTGATAGCCAAGCCTTAATTGGTGGCGTCCACCGACTTCTAACGGTTGGTGGCCCTGCTGACCTTAGCTGTTCTCTCACAGCTCATCTCGGCTTCCCTCTCGCGACTGACCCCGCCTCACCATATCACCACGTGACCCCTGACCTTTTCTAACCCTCGATGACCTCAGCTTAACCTCTCAGCTAACCCGCTCCCCCTTTATACCGACCCCGCTGACCCTGTACCCCCGTCTCCGACCAGGGGCCAGCATGCCGTGGTGCGTCGGTGCCGATGCAAGGTCTCGGCCGCCGAGTTCGCCGCCAAGTTCATCCGGAAGCGACGCGTCGCCTCGTCGCGTCGCGGCGTGCCGCTGGCCGACATCCGACAGGAGGTGCACCTGCTCTCGGAGATGTCGCACGAGAACGTCATCAGCTGCCACGAGGTGTACGACAACGACACTACGGTCATCCTCGTCTTGGAACTGTGAGTACCTTGACCGGAGAGTCGTGGATTAGCTAGTAACTTAGCTAACAACTAGCCACTAGTGAACTAGCTAGCCACTAGTGAACTAGCTAATAACCGGCCAATCCCTAGAGCGGTGTGTCGGTGAGCTCTGGGACCACATAATGTTGGTTGTGTAATATGTATGTTAGTAACGAACAGTGCAGCCTGGAGTAGCTCCACAATTAATTCAGAGGAGGCAGCAATACCAGTCAGATACAGCCGGGGAGGGGGGGGGAGGAGGGATCCAATGCATGCGACGCAGGTCATCTGGCTCATGAAAAATGCTTCAGCAATGCGCCTGGTTTGCTGATCACTTAGGTAACTGAGATGTAGTGCAGCTGATCGAATGGAGTACCTACTCTGGTGGCGATTGCGTCACGAGTCTGCTGCGCAAATTAGGCAAGACCCCGCCGTTCAGAATCATCGCTGCTGTCGTTTGTGTCGCGACTGTGAATTCAGCTGAGTCGTATATGAGGTAAGCGGTTGCGCCGCACCCGCTGAACTCATTATGAGTTCAATCCACGGTTCGATTGCTACACATGCTAGGAGTGATGTGTAATTTAGCTGATTTAATCGTTTGTGCTTACGATGCGTAGAAATCCACCGACTTTATTGCACCAACAAAGTGTGTTGATGGATAATCTACCGCTGTTTTTGCAAGGAGCTTCCAGACTACATTTTCGCAGTTTTACTGTAACACTGTTTCACCCCTTTTCCCTAATTATGTACCTTATATCTTCGAATTATGCAAATATTAAATTTCATAATTTCGTCAGTAACTCAGGAGGTATCTGGACGTTACGAGATTATTAGAAATGAATGCAATTTTACACGACAATCCAACAACCCTTACTCCCAAATCCATTCCATCGTGATTGAATGTTTTTATTGCATAATATAGAAAGAAAGTCACCCAAAGCGGCAATGCCTATACAATTGTACAATGTACATCATGTGGCACCGCCTATTCCTAAACGGGAATATGCTATCCTCGGAAATATCTCGCAATAAGGGGTTGTTATCATCGGGTCGATAGGCCCTCTGACAGTGAATGATAGATGTATAACGCGCGGGATAACAATCTCAATAGTCTAAATTCCTCCCTTGGAATGTGGTCTGTCTTCTGTAAAAGACCTGTGTGTGAACTCAAACGCTGAAACAATGAATGGTCCTATCAGTCAGTTGTTTGCTTTGCTTCATGACGCAAGGAAGCACGAGTGTGGCCAACAGCTGATACTCTATCGCGAAGGTCGGTCAAGGCTGCTATCACTAGTCGGGATATGTTTCGACTCTGAGCAGGTGCAGTGATTGACGCGTCTACTGTCGTCAGTGTTGTACGCTTACACGGTCATACAGCCGAGGGAGGCACAGCGCGGCGGCATCCGTCCCATCGCCTAAAACATAACCCATTATTGAAAAACAAACATGGCATGATAGTGACTACTGCAGTGCGGAGTCCAGTGACCGTTTGCCGGACGCTGCAAATAGCCTTCGTTAACCCCTGGCTAGGTTTCAGCGATGGGAAGTACCTATGAGGTCATTGGCATTGGTTCTGGTTACTGGTGCCTCGCGGCCGGCAGGAATGAGTAGTGGACAAGTTTTTAGAGGGTTCTATCACTGCCATGGTCCGGTCACGCTGAACAGAACCTCGCAGCAGTTGTGGTCAGTGGTCCCTTGTATCTGCATTGTTAGTGAATGTGGGTATTTCTCGACGGCATTGGTGCAGTGAAGGAAACGGCGATCTTGTGTGCGTCTGAAGAAGTGATTAGAAGTCGTGGTGCAAACGGCGTACAGATTTTGTCAGCCCTGTTTATGAGGAGACTGGACAAAGTGTCCTATATCGATCGGTAGCAGAGTTTACGGAATCCGTGTCGTGAAGGACTCTTCAGGTCGTTGGTGTTCCATACTTGACACGCAACTCCAAGCACATCCAGGATGAATCCGCTGCGCCTTCCGCTTCTGTTCACGGCGATTCTACTAACCATCAATGTGACGTGTCAGAAAGTGCGGATAGGCGAGTGTCCTGACGTCGAGCCCGTCCTCAACTTCAACGCCACCGCCTTCAGCGGACTCTGGTACGAGAATCGCAAGTACGTCAACCGCTTCACGCTGGGCCAGAAGTGCGTCACGACCAGGATCAGCTCCAACGACGACTCGGTGCTCGTTTTCGACACCCTGGGCTACGAGAAGTTCTTCAAGCCGGTGCGCCTGCGGGGTTTCGCCCTCCAGACGTATGGCCCCGACGTCGGCGCCTTCTCCGTCGGAGTGCCGATCGCCGAGGACCTCAGCAACCCAAACCTGAATGTCATCGACATCGACTACGATCAGTACGCGATTCTGTACGGCTGCCGGACCAAGATGGGCGGACTGAGCCACCTGGAGTGGCTGTGGGTGCTGTCTCGCACCCCGTACCTTACCGCGCCCACCCTCACCGCCATTCTTCTGCGTCTGTCCCACCACGGGTTTCGACCGCTGGCACTGCATCCCACCGAGCAGAACTTCTGTCCAGACAACATACCTGGCGTGTAGCGAGGGGTCATGTGTCGTTCAGTTGTCATAGGGATGCGATGCGCAGAGAGTTCAGAGGCACAGCTGTGGATTTGCAATGAGATATGATATGACCGATAATTTCGAACAATTATTGAATAAATGAATGCAATGTATCCACTGGCGGATCCAGGGGGGGCCACCGGGGCCATGGCCCCCCCCAAAAGCCTGAAAGGGGGGGCCAACATATCTTTTGGCCCCCCCCAAAACGCTTGGAGAAAAATTAATGTGAGAAGGTTGCGTAGTAGATACCTACTAGAATCAGCAGCGTGATTCAATAGCGTAGAGAAAGTCAGGGGCGCGGGAACTACTTTCAGACTGGGGGAGCACACCATAATAGAGATCAACCTAGGGTCCCCCCAAATCTAGTTTTCTCACCGGTTTTAGGCCGCTTATTTTTCATCCCTTGGCTTTTTCAACAAAAAAAAAAGAAACAGTTGCAAAAAAGGACGGTATTCCGTTTGAAAGTTGTGGGGGCACCGCCCCCACTGGCGGATTCAAGGGGGCCACCGGGGCCATGGGCCCAAAAAGCCTGAAAGAGGGGGCCAACATATCTTTTGGCCCCCCAAAACGCTCGAAGAAAAATTAATGTGAGAAGGTTGTGTAGTAGATACTTACTAGAATCAGCAGCGTGATTCAATAGCGTAGAGAAACCCAGAGGCGCGGGAACTACTTTTAGACGGGGGGGGGGGGGAGGTCACACCATGATAGAGATCAACCTAGGATCCCCCAAATATAGTTTTCTCGCCGGTTTTAGGCCACTTATTTTTCATCCCTTGGCTTTTTCAACAAAAAAAGAAAACATTTGCAAAAAGGAGCGGTATTCTGTCTGAAAGTTGTGGGGGCACCGCCCGCACGGCCCCAGAGTTGGGGGGGGGGGGGGCAAGCTGCCACCACTGCCCCCTCCCCCCGGTTCCCGCGCCTATGGAGAAACTACCGGGTTTACTAGCTTCCTTCATAAAGTGTCGTCATGTCTTATCGTCACCCGAGAAGGTCTTATTGCATAAATATCGATTGAGCTGTCAAGTTAACAAACTTGCTGTGGCAGCCTGACCTGACATGACCCGGCAACTTTTCATTCACGGAATATGCGCAATAAATTTTTTAGGAAAACTCACTGAGTTTTCGTTGAAAAAAAAAACTTGTTTTGTTTCGTAATTGTACAATGTACAAGAAGCATATGAGGGACCTTTTTGTCCCTTCCTGCGAAACGGTAAAAGACTTATTTCGGTCACAGCTCAGGCCAATCTCTAAGGGTCAGTCGGGTCACTTATTTCTTAAAAGGGTCCTTACGGCATCCAAGGACCAATTCCGGCTTTTGAGTGCGCCACATCAGCATTTGATGCTACGACAGATGTCGAAATCTGAATATATGTTACAGGCCGTATGAAAATTCGGTCCGTTTGCAAACGGCCTGGCCCAGTCAGGCCATATGAAACTACCTGAAAACACCGGCCGTTTGCAAACTATGACCTGAAATATCAGACCGTTTGAAAACGACCTAGTTAGTTTCGGCCTAGCGGATCCAGGGGGGCCACGGGGTCATGCCCCCAAGCCTGAAAGGGGAACAACATGTATTTTTTGTCCCCAAAAACACTTAAGAAAAATGAATGTGAGAAGGGCGTAGTAGGTAGAGAGAAAATACCGTATCATTAAAAATCTGTGAGCTTGATAAAAGTGTTGGTCTTGTCTTCACCCAAGAAGTTCTTATTGCACACTTTAACCATGGGTGAAAGAACCTTCATCCCCTGGTTCTCCTTCATCCATGCTTTAACTCTCGATCGACGTGTGAAGTTATCGTGTAAGGTATCATGAAGCCGATCGCGACGAAACTTTAGTACCCTCATGGTGACAAAGTCTGAAAATTTCATGACCCTGACCCAAGTGAACTTTGACTTGTGGCCTATTTCTCGAGACTGTTTGGCCATGTTGGAGGCCATGTTTGGCCGGAATAGCGATTCGGCGTATGTCGGCTCACATTATCCGCGCTTTTATAGTCTTTTCGTGGTTTAAAACGCTCAAACATGTGATATGATATTGCTCCCACGCATTAGGGCGGATGCCAATGTCACCTTACGGTCAAGTCAGGTCATTGACCTTTGATGACCTCGGTGCACTTTTCCGAGTTTAACATGTTTCTAGGATAGTTTCGTTTAGCTGATTTTGAATTTAGCATTTTGCAGCCATTTGAACATTTACGAAGTAGTTTTGATGCCTTCGTATCATGTTACGTAGCTTTAACTCTCGATCGACGTGTGAAGTTATCGTGTAAGGTATCATGAAGCCGATCGCGACGAAACTTTAGTACCCTCATGGTGACAAAGTCTGAAAATTTCATGACCCTGACCCAAGTGAACTTTGACTTGTGGCCTATTTCTCGAGACTGTTTGGCCATGTTGGAGGCCATGTTTGGCCGGAATAGCGATTCGGCG